GAAGAATTGATGCTTTTGAACTGTGGTGCTGGAGAAGACTCTTGAGAGTCCCTTGGACTGCAAGGAGATCCAACCAGTCCATCCTAAAGGAGATCAGTCCTGGATGTTCACTGGAAGGACTGACGCTTAAGCTCCAATACTTTGGCCACCTGATTCGAAGAGCCAACTCACTAGAAAAGACCCTGATGCTGGGAAAGATTGAAGGCAGGAGTAGAAGGGGATGACAGAGGATGAGGTGGTTGGATGGTATCACTGACTCAATGGACATGAGTTTGTGCAAACTCCAGGAGGTGGTAAAGGACAGGGAAGCCTGGTGTGCTGCAGTCTATGGGGTCGCAAAGAGTTGGACATGACTGAGTGACTGAACAACTGAACAACACTGGTTGCAGAGTCCATTCTCTTAACCATTCCTTTGTACTATACACATGTATGTATGAATATGTGTGTGCACATACATGTACATGTTACACATACTGTGCATGAGCATATGTGTGTCTAACATACTAAATAGGTAGATATGTAATATTGTGTGTGACTACCACACACAATATGTATATATGTATACATTTAAACAATATATATATGTGTAGATTGTTACAATGAACATATATGCACATTTTGCTTGACAAAATTATGCAGCTTCCTTTAAATAATAAATATACATATTTATAAAATAATTTATAATATTGGAGCTTACAAATAAGTAAGTAAGAAATTTAAAGAGAAAAACATTTCTGTTACCGTGTGATAACCCATCACAAATCCCTTGCAGTGACAGTTTTTTGAGGCAGATTAACAGGAAGGCCCAAGTAGTTCACTGAAAGTTCTCATATATTTGTTCTGGGTCATTTTAGCATGTGATGAATAAATACAGTGAAAAATGTATTCTTTGGGGATTTTGCTGCTGGACAAGAAACAAAAATAAGTCTGCCTTTTGAATATCAAGGCTGCAGTTTAGTGACTGAATGACTCATTGTAAGTCTAATTGGCTAACTGGCCTTAGGGAGTTGGGGGTGGTGCTGGGAGGCTGGCGGGTTCCTGCCTGCACAACAGGACCATTAAAAAGCTTGCGTGAGTTTGGGTTTGTTTTCTTTTGCTTTGACTGTTGTTTTTTTTTTTTTAACGAATTAGGCAAGATGCTTAAAGGATTGTCCAGTAAAGTAGCTGAAATATCATTTTCACAAATGCCATCTAAAATTTTCTTGGAAACAAGGCCTGGAATTATTGCAAGATCTAGTCAACAATGAGGTAATAAAAGTGAACATATTCTTCTATTTCCTATTGATTTACTTAAGAGAAAATTTAGAAACTTTACTCTGTTGGATTGAAATTCTTTAATCTTTTTTGTATTTATAATTTGGTAATGATAATGAGACCTTAATTGAAAGGTTAATCCTAAATAAACGCAACATAATCTTCTGGTCAATTTAATTAAATGGTACTGGGGTTTAATTCTGAAAGAGATGGGAATACCAGACACCTGACCTGCCTCTTGAGAAACCTGTATGCAGGTCAGGAAGCAACAATTAGAACTGGACATGGAACAACAGACTGGATCCAAACAGGAAAAGGAGTATGTCAAGGCTGTATATTGTCTCCTGACTTATTTAACTTATATGCAGAATACATCATAAGTAGTCATGTATGGATGTGAGAGTTGGACTGTGAAGAAAGCTGAGCGTCGAAGAATTGATGCTTCTGAACTGTGTTGTTGAAGAAGACTCTCAGGAGTCCCTTGGACTGCAAGGAGATCCAACCAGTTCATCCTAAGAGAAATCAGTCCTGGGTGTTCATTGGAAGGACTGATGCTGAAGCTGAAACTCCAGTACTTTGGCCACCTGATGTGAAGAGCTGACTTATTTGAAAAGACCCTGATGCTGGGAAGGATTGAGGGCAGGAGGAGAAGAGGATGACAGAGGATGAGATGGTTGGATGGCATCACTGACTCAATAGACATGAGTTTGGGTGGACTCCAGGAGTTGGTGATGGACAGGGAGGCCTGGCATGCTGTGGTTCACGGGGTCGCAAACAGTCGGACATGATTGAGCGACTGAACTGAACTGAACTACTGGGTTTAAAGTGAGGGTAGTAATAATGAAGAAACAGAAATTGAGGAAGAGAAGTGAAAGCCTCAAAAGCTTGAGAAGAATTGTGAAATAAAATTCATATTTATGGCAACACAAGAAAAATTTAAACATCAAAATTCTTCTCTGCCCATTGCCCTCCCCTATCCCCACACGGTACATCACGTGTTCACATTATGCATGGACCACACAGGTCCCACCAGCAGGAATACTTGCTCAATCATAAAGAGTAATATTCTCCCAGCACTAACAAGACAACTCCTTAAAAGATAACATTCCTTCTAGATGTTGGTGCTCAAATCTGAATGAAGGAAACTGTCAATAAGACATCATCTAATGTACAGCCCCCTGTCTCAAAAAACTTACATAAACTGTGTCTTGACTTCTAATGGGTGGAACAGAGCTTTCTGGGATGCTCTTCCTGAGTTATAATCCTCAAATTTGGATGAATAAAATGTTCCCATTCTTTCTTAGATGGACTGATTAATTTTTGTTGACAGGACAAATAAGTAGGAAGGGATGACACCTGTTCCACTGGCCTTGGTTTTCACTGTATTGAATTTGTAGATAGGGAAATAATTGAGCAGTAAAGATGAAACAGAGACACTTTACAGAATATTGATGATCAAACTCTTCTTGTAAAAGGACAGTCACTTAACTTGGTTAAAACCTATTAAAGACCAAATTAGCCTTTTCTTTTCTTTTTTTTTTTAAAGAAGCCCTGCAGAGTCAGTCTTTCTCTAGGCTCACATTTCCTTTGTCTAGAAGAATGCATGCTATGAATGTAAATGAACATTTTAGACTTAGTTAGAAGCGATTCCAGCCCCCTCTGTTAGCTGGATTTCCTGGGGACTGTGTTGATCAGTACTCCTCCCATGTCCCGTCCAGTCTCCCCTGTGGTTAGGGCTGGAGGACAGGGCACGTGTGTGCCTGTAGCCTGCACCCTGCCTAGTCTTAGCTAAAGTTTCTGTTCAAGACCTCTCCCTGTTTCCTTTCCCTGGTGAGAGGGACTATAACTCTAGGACCCTTGCTTTTAACTTTCTTGACAAAGACCTAAAGCAGGCACAACTCCTGGCACTACTTACATCTTCTCAACCGATGCAAACTTCCAAACAGGAGGTACCATTAGAGCATATCAATCCTGGGAGAGAAACAGTGGCCATCAATACTCATCTTTACATTTCCAGAGCCACCAATAGTGCCTTCTAGTCATAGGTGTCCAGCAAACACTGGTTGCTCTGAACTTGGGCTCCTCTTCCCCTCTCAATTTCATCTTCAGGATCAGTGGCCAATTGTGAGTTTCTTTATGAAGCTACCATTTAAAAAAAAAATACTTTATTCTAATGCCTAGCATGTGATTTAATACAGGTTGGCAAAATTTCCAAAATGTAGATGCCTTAACTTAAAAAAAATTTTTTAGATGGTATGGTATGTAATTCAGGACATAAAGTATGATAAGAAATAAATGAGTTTAAAAATTATATAATTAGTTTGAAACTAGCAGGGGGCTTCCCTGGCGGCTCAGTGGTAAAAAATCCACCTGCCAATGCAGGAGTCATGAGTTTGATCCTGATCCCAGAAGCTCCCACATGCCTCAGAGCAGCTAAGCCGGTGCCCCACAACCACTGAGGCTGTGTTCTAGAGCCAGGTGCAACTCCTGAGGCCCATTCCTCCTAGAGCCCATGCTCGGCAACAGAAGAAGCTACCACAATGAGAAGCTTGCGCATTGCAACAAGTGAAAAGCCCCGACAGCAACAAAGATCCAATACAGCCAAAATAAATACATACATACATACTATGTAAAAATAAAAACTAGCAGTTACCAAAATGCCCTTCAATCGTTGAATGCATAAATAAATTGTGACATATTCCTGTCATGGAGTATTATATAGCAACAAGAATAGACAGTCTGCAGCTATGTGAGTGGCTATCACAAAGATAATATTCAGGGAGTGAAGCCAAATACAAGTGGAGTATTTATAGAAAGTAAAAAAACAGGCTAAATTAATGTATGCTATTAGAAGTCATAATAATGGTTACCCTAGAGGCAGTGATTTTCAGCAGGGTATCATCTGACCCACAAGGGATATCTGGCAATGTCTGGAGATGCACTTCTGGGAGTCTTACTGGGAAGGGTTGCTACTGGCAGCTAGGGGTAGAGCTCAGGGGTGTGGCCAAACACCCTGCAATGCACACGGCAGCCCCCAAGAGCAAGCACTGTCCAGCCTGAAACCTCAGTAACACTGAGGCTGAGAAGCCCTACCCACCATAGGGGTAGTGCTAACATTCTGTTTTTTGATCGGCATGCTGTCCACACAAATGTGTGCAAGTGGAAAACTCATCAAGTTACACACATATGGTATGTGTACTCGTCTACAGGTATACTGTCTCTTAACAAAAAGCTTAAAAAGTGTTAAAAAGCTACCTAAGATTTAGAAAAACTTGAGTTAACAAAAATACATGCTAGGACTCAATGAATCCTAGGACTCCACTAAATCTAGATTCAGTAGAAAACAGAAAAAAAACCCTGACATTTTACAGAAAGCCTTAAATTTTAATGATAAAACAGTGTGACTATTTCACTCATCAAATCTTGTACTAAACATCAAGATTTAGAATGTACTCTAAAATGGCAACCACAACTTCAAAAAAAAAAAAAGCACCATGCACTAATAAAAAATGCATGAATGTTTTATTTACCAGAAAATCCTGGTGATCTGTAGATAGGAATCTGGCCAAGTCACTTAGAATCAGGATTTGTATTGTCAGCACCTGCAGAGACCAAAGAAGAAAACAGCTTCTTAAAGAATGCCTCCAGGCCTCTTACTGGGACTTTCTCTGCAGCTTGCATATTTGCAGACTCTCCTGCTCTGTGATAGTTGGTTTGCAAACCCGGACCTGCATGCAAAGGGCAAGGAAGGACTGAAAAAGAGGAGGACCACTCTAGATCAGTAGTTGGCAGGTTTAACAAGCAAGGAAACTTACACTGGAGGCTTGTCTTGGCAGCTCAAGATAAGTAGATCTCAGATCTCATCTGCTCACCAGAATGTTAATAGTTTATATAGAAGACTTAACGGGGCTCAATCACATAAACTATCTAGATGGTTTCAACACCTTATGCTCTTAAGGCTGTATCCTTGAAACAGCTCCTGGCGTGGGCATGCTGGGCAGAACAAACATTCCAAGGTCAGGTCCAACTTGAAGCTCAACACCACATCCTCTCAATGGCTTTCTCCAACAATGATGGGGTCTTTTGCCCCTTGAAATTGACAAAGTTTTTCACAGCATGAATTATCCTCCACATGGTATTTTGAATGAGAAAGTCTATTTTGGTCATTTTGTCCACATTTCACATTTGTGTGTTGGGTGTGTCTTTTTAATTCAATGGCCTCCAATCAAGGGAGGCCTCATGGCAGAATGGAGGTCCCCAGACTGTGGACCCCAATCCAGAGGGAAGTAGGTATTGGGAGGAGGTTAAGTGTACTTTGCACAGGAAAAGGACATGAAAATTGTGACCAGACGATGGACACATGGATGGAGATTATTTATAAAATGGCCATAACGATTTCCCTCCCTATATCTAGGCCTCTATGTGATGCTTGATAGCTATTTCTACATAGAGATGAAGTTGATTTCTTCACTGCTCTAAATCTGGACTAGACTTTGAGACTTGTTTTGACAACTAGAATGTGGCGGGGAGTGTGAGGCCATCCCAGTTGAGAGTCTAGTCTTCAAGAGGCCCTGCATGCTATTGGTCACCTTTCTGGAACCAAGCCTCTGCCATGTGAATAAGCCTGGGCTAGTTCGCTGGATGATGAGAGGCCACTTGGACTGGACACAAGCCATCCCCAGTGAGGCCATCCTAGCCCAGCCAGGCCTGGCTCATCCAGGGGCTGCCCATTCATGTGTGGAGTGAGTCCAGTCAAGACCAGAAAAACCATGTAGCTGAGTCCAGCTCACATTGTTGTTCAGTCACTAAGTCATGTCCAGCTCTTGTGACCCCATGAACTGCAGCAAGCCAGGCTCCCCTGTCCTTCACTATCTCCCAAAGTTTGCTCCAACTCCTCCATCGAGTCAGCGATGCCATCCAACCATCTCATCCTCTGTTGCCCTCTTCTCCTCCTTCCCTTAATCTTTCCCAGAAACCCTGATGGGGTTTTTCCAACAAGTTGGCTCTTCACATCAGGTGGCCAAAGTATTGGAACTTTAGCACCAGCCCTTCCAATGAATATTCAGACTTGATTTTCTTCAGGGTTGACTGGCGTGCTGTAGTCCATGGGGTCACAAACAGTCGGACATGACTGAGCGACTGAACTGAACTGAGGTTTGACTGGTTTGATCTCTTTGCTGTTCAAGGGACTCTCAAGAGTCTTATCCAGCACCAAAGTTCAAAAGCATCAATTCTTTGGTGCTCAGTCTTCTTTATGGTCCAATTCGCACATCTGTACATGACTACTGGAAAAACCATAGCTTTGACTATATGGACTTTTCTCGGAAAAGTGATGTCTCTGCTTTTTAATACGCTGTCTAGGTTTGTCATAGTTTTCCTTCCAAGAAGCTCACATTGGCAGCCCACAGAATCATGAAGTAAATAATTTGGAATGATTTCTTATGCAGCACNGTAAATAATTTGGAATGATTTCTTATGTAGCACATGCCTTTGTTCTCAGAAAGATGGCTATAAGTAGCTCTGGCATTTATTCTATTCATGTCAGGTCTGGTTTTATTAATAGTCCCTCTTTTTCAATAGTGGAGTGAAAGTCCCTCAACTGAATATCATATCAGTGATCTCGCTTAGGTAATTAGCTCTATCACTGTGGCCAAGGGGTGAAACATGTGGTGGCCATACCTGAGTCCTTCCTAGAGGACTGTGAGAAAGTGACAGTTGGCAAAATGTAAAAAATAATAATGTTCAATGCATGATATGCTCTGTATCTCACTGCCTCTAATGTGAGGATTTGGCTGCTGTGGTGTTTCCAACTGATTGATCATTCATTGCTTTGTAGATTCTGCCATCATCACGGCACCAGAGCAAATTCACTCACCACTTTATTCTACTTGCATAATTTGAAACATAGAAGACCATGAGGAAAAAAAGTCCATTAAGAGCAAATTTTGTATTTTGGATGCTTTAGTATTTGTATTTCTGGATATCTTATCTCCTACCATATATTAGTCCTGAAACATACCAGAGCTCTTCATGATTTCTCCCCAAAGCAAAGGAGGGATATGTTGGCCAGTATTCTGCCCTCACTTGTTATGGGATGAGATGCATCCATTTTTATATAAAGTTGAAGGGCACTAAGGAAAATGTGAAGAAGGAAATGTTGCTCATCCTTGAATAAGTGTAGAAAGAATCAACAGATAATGGACAAAGAACACTAGTTTGTTTAATCTTACTTAATAAGCCCTGTCTTCAAGCATTTTGAATTTCTCTGGCTGACTTGCAGATGTGCTTGACTTGAATTCATTTACCTTCAAAAATAATGAAGATTAGGAGGTGGACATGGTATGTGAGTGGAAAATCCAATGGACAGAATTAACAGGGTTTAATAATTTTTTAGCCGAGTAAGACTGTGTGGGTTCCTTCTGCTAAAACACTGGTCTTATGATGGGTAATTCACCAGATCATCCCCGTGAGTAAACCATTCAGGAATGAACCATAATATAGTCACAGGATGGGCTAGTCTACAACTATTAAAGTAGTGTTTCTAAGGAATATTAACTGACATGGATAAGGGTACATAATTCTTTGCCAAGTGAAAAATATTTCTAGAAGTGTATTATGTCATATGTATGTATATAGAATGAAATATTACCACTGGGGTTTCTAAAGACAGATAATTTGAGCATGTTTCTCCCTTTAATGCCTCTTTATGTTTTATAGCCTCCCAAAGTTATGAAGTGTTACTTTTGTAATTATGAAATATAAAAATGAAAATGCAAAATATGTCAATTAACTATTGTAGTACTACATAGAAAATCATGTTGTCAAAATATTTGCAACCAGAATAAAACAGTTCTCTAGCTCCACAAGATGTGTCCCTCTTGTATGAATTTTGAAATCAGCATTGCAGTCTGATGGTGATATTCTTCTGTGGACTGCCAGATCTAAGTGAAACTAAATCATTACTGACATCTACAGAATATCTCCTATATGCCAGACCTTGTTCTAAGTAGTTCACATGCTTAAATCCACGTGATACTCATAACATCCTATGAGGTAGTTAATATTATTACCACCTTATACATGAGAAAACTGAAGCACAGAGATTTAAGTTAAGATGGGGTGAAGTCAGACTCCAGAGTTCTTGCTCATGACAACTATTCTACAGTTCTCTCCCGTCTTGTGAGAGAGGACATTCCACGTACTACTCATCTTGAAAAGGAAGGGCTTCTCAGAGAGAAAAGCGAACTGTAAGTGCAGAGTTTAAGCAGTCATGAGAAGGCCTAGAACTCCTTCCCTTTGTCTATTCAGAGAAGCTCATCTTGAATTTTAAGGAGAGCTGAAGGGGGGTGTGGAAAAGAAGAGACTCCAGCACAATCTCTGCTTTATGGGATCCCATTTGTAATAGTTGAGATACAGTGTCTGTGTTAGTTGCTCAGTCATGTTTAACTCTTTGGGACCCCATGGACGGCAGCCTGCCAGACTCCTCTGTCCATGGAATTCTCCAGGCAAGATTCTGGAGTGGCTAGCTATTCCCTTCTAAGAGAGGTGGGATGGGGGACCGGGATGGGGAATACATGTAAATCCATGGCTAATTCATTTCAATGTATGACAAAACCCACTGCAATGTTGTAAAGTAATTAGCCTCCAACTAATAAAAATAAATGGAAAAAAAAATAGATAGAAAAAAATAAAAAAAAACCAAAGAGAAGCTCATCTTGAATTTTAAGGAGAGCTGAAGGGGGATGTGGAAAAGAAGAGACTCCAGCACAATCTCTGCCTTATGGGATCCCATTTGTAATAGTTGAGATACAGTGTGTGTGTTAGTTGCTCAGTCATGTCTAACTCTTTGGGACCCCATGGACGGCAGCCTGCCAGACTCCTCTGTCCATGGAATTCTCCAGGCAAGATTCTGGAGTGGCTAGCTATTCCCTTCTCCAGGGGATCTTCCCGACTCAGCGATCGAAGCCAGGCATCCTGCACGGTGGGCAGATTCTTTACCATCTGAGCCACCAGGGAAGAACACACAATACAAGTATCCAAACTGATATCATAAGACATGCTGTTCATAGAGTACTGGTTATATACTAAAATAAGAGAGTCTATGCTTTTGTAAACTTGAGAATCACTGGATGAGGAAAAGCTAGAGGTCTGTTATAGGACTTCTCAGAGCCTTTGTTATGCTCATGTTATGTTTTAGTATCTATGGAGTATGTATAGTATACACTATTTTCCAACTTTGTTCAACCACAAAGCATCTTTCTTGTGGAACATCCTCTAATAGTTCCCCAAGTTAATATTCTGTGGAACAAAATTTGGGAAACATTGGTCTCAAATAATAGTACTCTCTTTACTATAATTTCCATTTTCCTCTGATCTTTAATTTTTTTAAAAAAATCTTATCTCAAGTGTCCTCTGGAGATAAAGGATTTGTATCCCTGTTTGGATATGTTTATTAGAGGAAGGGTAGCAATCTATTGAGGTCAACATGATAGATAGAGCCACGAGTGCCTACAAGAAATAAATCTTGGTGACAGAATAGGAATGATGTCTAAAATGTCACCCAGTCCTCCAGGATCTCTCTCTCCTTGTATAGTAAACCCTG